TGAATCCATTAAAGGTTAATGGAGGTGGTAGAGTGGGGGGAGGGGACAAAAAAGGAGCTGATATCAAAGAGTTCAATAAAAAAGAAAATGTTTTGAAAATAATGGTGGCAGCAAATGTACAACTATGCTTGATCTAATTGCACTATGGATTGTTATAATGTCTGTAAGAGCTCCTAATAAAATAATAAAAAACATATGTAATTTTACCAAAATCTATGGAAGAAAAAAAATAGAAAACATGAATAATCCTATCCTTTAGAAATAAAATTAGATATATCATGGAAACTTTTCCAATAAAATTGCCAGGATTAAAAAAAAACTTTTACAAAACATTTTATCTGTCAAACTTAATGTTACCAATTTAGCAACCATCACCACTATCTAATATTAATTTTATTAATATTAATAAATATTAATGCCTACTTTCTCTATTAGTGTCACTATGTAAGCTTTCTTTTAGTTATCAAATTTCACCCACCTTTCAATCTTTCCATGTGAGTCAAAATCACCTCAAAAGCAAGTAACAACATCTGTAAAGATTTTAACTGTAAGTGATTAAAAGGGGAAAAAAATCTGGTCTCCATGTCTGGCAATCGGTATCTCTTTTTATTAGAGCGTGTACTATATTAACTGATTGTGATGTGTTCGATTTGCTTCGTTCTATGATTTCTCTTCAAGTCAGTGATCCTTCCTACTTCCCATGCTTCATGTGAATGCATGTTCATCCCACTTCCTTGTTCCCTGGTCTTCTCCGGGTGACTTACTTTGTCCATTGGGAAGTGGGAAAATGTCTTTCTGCCTCTTGACCACTTGCCCTTTGTCATGGAAACACCAGTTTCTAGGTAAGGGTTGTTCTTCCAGTCAGAGTCCCACAATAGGAAGATGGAAAAACAAACTTGAAAACAGACATCAAGCTAGAGTTGAGCTAACACATCCTGTCTCCAAACTGGTACCAGAAAATAGGAACATGATTTGAACATTGTTTTGTAACTCAGACACTTTGAGACAGTTTAAAAACAAAGTATAATGTAATGAAAGCGGTTTAATATAGAAAATGCATCCAACAGTTGGTGTTGCTACCAAAAACCAAAAACTTGTAGCACTGACTTCTGCAAAGGGAAAAGTGTTACAGGAGAAAATAAATAAATGACAACCTTTGTTATGCATCATGTAAACATTTGCTATAACCTGGGATAACTCAGAAACTGGAGACTTCATTCATGACGGTCGAATTATTATGAAACAGAAATGTTAATATTTCAGTTGATTGCTTATCACTGTATATCTTAAATTAATATTACAGAGGAACTCTATAAAAAAGGACTAGATTTTTATTTCTGTAAGAATGAAAAAGAAAGGAGGGAGTCCAGATACCATGTGTTTTATGAACTTAAAAATATAACAGTGACTCTTTTCTTGTTAACAGGTTAATATGTCACAGACAATATTAAAGAATTTGTTTTGAGAATTATGTAGAATCAGTTTTACATCCAGTCCAGGCACATATTAGACATATGGAGTGGTGAAATAGTTAAGAAAAGGTATGTTTTACTGTGGTTACAAACAACTCCAAAACATCATTTGCTTGAAGAAGAATAGTTCTTTCTTAGCTACACCATATATTCAATATGGTTTTCACAGGGCCTCTGCTCACTAGAGTCAGCCACAGTCACTCAGGTTCCCAGAATGACAGAATGCCCATCCCACCACATGCTTCTACATAGCAGGAATAGCGAACGTGAATATGTAAATATGTCTGTAGCATTCAGAAAATAGATGTGGCTTCGCCACAAGCCAGAATTGACTGGACGATAGCTAACAAGGAAAACATTGATGAAGAATTCAGTCAGACCACACTGAGGAGAGACAGTCTTAATCTTATTTTCTAAGAATAAGCATAAGTAATCTGAAGACTTAATGTACCTTCGATTTTGAGTAGGATTTTCATTCCAAGCTGCAGTGCTTGTTGTCTAATGCATGAATGCTGCATGCACAAAGCTGGTCAGTGAAAGGTTGGATGGTCAAGTCTACCGAAGTCGTCTAGAGGGAAATCTGGCAATCTACTTAGAAAATGCCAGGCACTGTGAATTGTATGCATATAGTTCACATCAGCCGACTCTAACTAAACATCACGGGTAGCACCATGAAACCCACACAAGGTACCATTGTTGATGCTGGGAATGTTCCCAGGAAACAGAAAAATGATGACATTAAAATAATACGAAGAAAAGTACTGGGTTCCGTGGTTGTAGTTATTCATTTCAAGGTAATGAATCCATTTTCAAAAAGGAAAAGGAATTTACAAAGTCCTTGCTACAACTATATAAGTATGGGGGGGAAACAGGCGCTTTGAAAAATATCCTTTGATCTCATATTGAAAATGCAACTTTCCTATGGGTGGAGAACTGCTATAAGAAAAACACTTCTGGTCCGGAACTGAATTCACTCCCAATTTCATCTAATTCACTCAATTCCATCCAAATTTCATCCCAATTCACTCAATTTTGTCCAAAATATCTACAGAACGATATAGGAAATAACAATGCTAGTAAGGTACATCATTAGAATAATCAACCATTTGAGATCACAAGGGCAGTATTTTCTCAAGGACAAATTTCAGAAGGGTTAGAAAAGAAGAAAGCAGAAACATAAAACAGAAAGAAAATAGTATGTGATGTTGCACTGAAGAGATTGCAATGAATGAGGTAAAACAAAAATGTGCATGAATTGTTTAACGTAAAACTGATGCTATGATCTGCAAATCTTCAGCCCATTCACAATAAGAAAGAAAGGCACACCTATTTAGTGCACCCGATTTGATACATTTTGAAAGTCATTTTATGACAAAGGAAAGCAAAAGGAAAGTGAATAATCTGCAGCTGGATAATTTAAAGCAAGCCAAGGATGGTTTGATCATTTTAGAAGCCTCTGTGGCTTTTAACAATGTGAATGTAACCAGGAGCAACTTCTGCTGATCAGGAGGCAGCAAAGAACCCTCAGGCATCATTAAGAAAATCATTAAAGAAAAATGGTATCTGCCTCAACATGTTTTTAATACAGGCAAAAGTGCCTTACTCGAGAGGAAAATGTCCCCAAGGGCGTTTATTAGTAAGGAAAAGAAAAAGCTGGATTTAAGATAGGAAGGAATAGAGTAATTAACGGTTTTGTGTCAATTTGGTCAGGATTGCCCATATCTATAAACCTGCAAACAACTGTGCTTAAATGGAAATGATAAAAACCAGCTTCCAACCTTTTCATTGCTCAAAAAGACCTCGACAAGGACAATAGTACTTTCGGTATTTGTTCCATCAACAGTTTGTGCCTGAAGCCAGGAAATACTTTATTTAAAGTTCTTTTGCCACAGACTATTGCCGCTGGTCACACAGAACTCCCCGAGTTCAACAACAAACGTAATTCTATATCAACTTCCCCAAACACAACGTCTCCAACTCAGTCTCTTGATTAGGGGACCATATAGACTTTAATTCTCATTACACACCTACTCTGTGGAAAGACTAGCAAGCACCATGGAAGAGAACTTTCATCATCACAAAAGGCTGGGAAGATTATGGTATTGAAGACCCTATCATCTTTGCACAAAAAACCCATGAAAGACATCAAACCTGAGAAATAGATTCCTTTTGGAAAACAAAAGACCGGTGTCCTGATGCTGTGCATGACACCACCAGAATTACAACAGAACCCGTCAAGGGAATCATGGAAGAGATTGCAGATATAACACAAAAAGATGGTGGGGAAAGTTTTCAAAGTAGATAACTTAGAGAAACTCCAATAGGCACCACCCCAGGGGAGTTCACAGAAGAACACTTGATGGAGATGAGGTTTCTGAACCAGTGCCAGATGATGAGAAAGCAGACCTAGAAGAGTGTGAGACAGCAAACTGACATGAAGAAACTGGCAGAAAAGTCCCAAGTATTCAAGGCGGCTTCTGAGTTGTTTTATGATTTGGGCACAGACTTTTTGGCAATCTAAAATGGAAGAAAGTTTGATTCCATATAGAAACATTTTTAGAGAAATTTAAAAGCAAAAAGTGAGACAGAAATTATTCTATATTCCCATAAAGTTACGTGACACATGCCCACCTCCCCCTGCCTCCCCTTCCGTCTCTCCCAGCCCTTCTGCCTTTGCCACCTCAAGACACACGTGCAAAATTTTTTTTCTCTTTGTTGTACTTTTCATAGCAGCATTTTCTTTCTTTCTCTTAGTACATTATAAGAATGCAGTATATAATGCATATAACATGTAAAGTATATGCTAATTGACTGCTTATATTACTAGTAAAACTAACAGTCAACATTTGGCTATTTGCAGTTTTTATGGTGTCAAAAGATAGATGCAGATTTTCTACTGCCTGGGTAGCGATTAGCACCCCTAATTTCTGTGTTGTTCAAGGGTCAACAGTATATAAAATATATATTTCTATATTAAAATATGCATCTGTATATTAAAAATATACAGTGGAGATAGGAGAAGAAGACTGCATTTAAGCTTTCTTGAGCACTTCATTCTGATTTATTCTTAATTTATATTATTGGACTAAATTTTAACCTTTTAGTCCCAATTTCTTCATCGGTAGCATAGGATAAGCAGACCTAGGTTCTTTGAGTTGAAATTTGCATGGAACATGTTAGACACAAGTTTAAAAATACGGAAGTGTTAGTTATTCACAGTTATAGTTCAATATTTAAAACTTGATCATACAGTTCATTCTTGAACGTACATGCTCTGAACCCCTAGGAAGCACGTCTCCTCTGTCGTGTAGTGTCAATCACTAAGAACAGAGATCAGCTTGATGGGCCTGTATGCATTTTTTGGAAGGTTGCTTGGTTTTGATTTTGGTTTCTAACGGGACTCTGATTTCTCATTTCATTTTTCAAGTCAGATATTCTCAGAATTGTCTATTAAAAGAAATTCTTACATCTTATTGTTTGCTGTGTAACCACGGGTTATGTAGAGAATATCATTTTGCTCATTTTGAGATATCGTTTATTTCCCCATCAGGTCTCTAGAAAAGAAGGCTTGAGTCTGGTCCAAGAAGATAACTGTGCTTTCTGCGAGACCTCTGCAGCCCTCAGACTCTGCGTCTGTGGTGCTTTTCATGGCTTAGTGAGAGAAATTCACAAAAAAGAGTCTATGACCTCCTCGATGGAAAAGAAACTGACAAGAAAAGACAGCCTGTGGAAGAAGTTAAAAGGTTCCCGGAAGAAGAGAGAAAACATGGCATGCCATGCCTCTTTCTGACTCCCACACTCTCCTGCTCTCTGTGAGGTTTATTTGATGGACAATTCCAGAGGTAGCACTCTGCCTCAATGTCCCTTTTCACGTTCTCTCTCTCTAAATATCTGCTTGTAGGTAAAAGCAAAATCTGCTTAACTGTACCTGTTAAGATAGTTTTGTTTTGCTTTTAACAGTTGGATGGATTTTGTCAATCAGCCAGATATGCTGTTTAGTTTTTACAATATATTAGTAAATAAAATTGACATTCTAATTGCCTCATTTCCCTTTAAAGAGTCTAGCTTCATTTGGTATGCTGTCTGGTTATAGAGGAAATATTCAAAATTGCAGCCAGAATGATAAAAGGCTCCAGGGGTCTGCCTTTGCCTGATAAGATTCTGGTTGTTTGCATTTCAGGAATCTCAGTAAATAATGAAGAAGCTCAGGAAATAATTCAGAGCTGAAGCCTGCAGCCTGGTCTTTTCCTTAAGTGGAGAGGCCATGATATTTCTTCTTGAATGTTCATGAGATAAACTATAGGTGAATTAATATCAGGAAGAACTGGTTGTGAGCCATTGGAGATGTCAAAAGACATGAAATATCTTCCTATTAACAATGCTCTGTCCCTGTTAAGCTTTGGCAAAGTTGTCCCATTTAAGTCACTGAGCTGTGGCCAAAGGATATTGTCACAGAGCAGAATAGCTCAGGCATTCGGTGACTTCACGTTTATAAAGGTACACACTGTTTTCTCTCAGGGAAGAGGTCCTCTTGGGACTGACTGCTTTGTCTGCATTAGCAGTCTGCAAGGCAAGAAGCTAGGTAACTCCAGGTACCACACCCTCCCTCTCCTTACTCAAACCAGGAAAAGGCACCAGTTAAAGCATTTTGTTTGTTTGTTTGCTTGCTTGCTTGCTTGTTAGTTTTGCAATAGTGCTGCTGTATAAAGTGGAAACGCTTATTCCCTCTCTGTCCCCATTGTGTGAGTCGCCTTAATGAAATTTGAGCTTCAGGAAGAACACTACCAGATAGCAACGTTATGAACCTTTAATAGGCAAATGTTAAGGGAAAAAGTATAACAAAATAAAACAACAACAAACAGACAGCTAAGCATGAAATGGAATCGATCCAATTAGTTTTCATGGAGTGGGAGAAAATTCCATCATAAATTAGAGCAAAAGAAGAATGAGAGTTATACAATTCAACATCAATCATGACTTCTTTTACTCACAGTGCTTCCAACCTTTAAGGAGCTGTAAGGATGCAAGAATGCATGGATAGCCCTGGGCTCTGGGAGGTTCAGACGAAGGACTGTGTGGGAGGAAGGGTCATGTGCACTCTCCACTGCTTGGGAGACATGTTATTGGTTTAGAATTTATCAATAATGTGTGGATAAGGGAACTATGACTAAGTCCAACATTATTATGCTACAGAAAGAAGGAGGTCATTAGAGTATCGCTCAGGGGCATGAAAGATTATGAGTTGGGTATCATTTGCACTCACAGAGTCACGCTTCAAGAGACTTTTAAACTAGTCTTTCTTTCCTAATGCTGTAGTGCTTACATGTTGATCTGTGTGTTAGCCCGGGTAGACTAGAGAAAGAAATCCATAGAAACTCATATATGTATAAGACAGAGTTGTATATAAAGGGTAATTTTACATTAAAAAAGCATCCCAAACCAGTCTAGTCCAAGTCCATATGTTCGATATTAGCCCAAATGTCCAATAACAGTCTATGAAGTCCTCTTCAGACTCATGAAACACATACAATGATGCCGAATGCATGAAGATCAAAGGCTAGTGGATGTGAAGTCTTGTGGATCCAGCGGCATTGTAAGCATGTCAGCACTGTCAGGGGTATCCATGTGGCTTTTCCAGTTCCCAGGGCATGGGTCTATTAGTGAAGTGCCATGTGTCTTGTCAGTTGAGTGTCTCCAAGGGAGTAAGCAGACAGAGAGTCTCTCCTGCCTTCAAGGAGCAAAAACAGGATTTCCCAGAATTCTCAGGAGAAGGCCATGCTCACACAGAGGCTTCATTGGCATGATCCGATTGAGAGACTAGACTCCACCCCTTCACACTTAATCCTCTCAAGTCCCAAATTGAGACCAGATTAGGTAACTACCACAAGCTGCTAACATAAAGGTCTGAAGTTCGAAACCAGCAGCCACTGCAAGGGAGAACAATGAGGCTCTCTACTTCTATAAACAGCTCACAATCTTGGACACTCACAAGATCAGTTCTACCCTGTCCTATAGGGCTGCTGTGAGCCAGCATTGACTCCGTGGCAGTGGGTTTGTTTTTCTTTTACAAGACTGGACCTGACAAATCATTCCAGAAGAATAAAAGCCAGGCATTTTTGTATAAAGGTTATTAATAACTTTCTTTAATATAAGTCAAAGAGCATAACTTCTACTTTCTGGCCACTATCCCTGAAAAACCTCTAGAATAATTAAATTGCTCTTAAACTCTCAGAGAACCACAATATGCACAACACTCTATGCCAAGCCAATGTCAAAAAACTATAGAACAAAAAGCATAACTTTATACCATTGAAAAATTATTCTTTCACTATTTTTATTCAATCTATATGCTCAGCAAATACTATGAAACCATAGGAAGAAGAACATAGCACTGGAATTGGAGGAAGACCCATAAAAGACCTGTGATATGTAGATGATATGCCTTTGTTTTTGAAAGAAAAGTGCACTTCAAGACTTACAGATGAATATCAAAGACTGCAATCTTCAGTATAAATTATACCTCCGTGAAAAGAAAACAAATGTTTGTAAAACTGAACCAATAAGCAACATCAGGATAAATGGATAAGCATCATGATAAATATTGAAATTGTCATGAATTTTTTTTTACTTGGACCCACAATCAACACTCATAAAAAGAGCAGTCAGGAAATGCCAACTAAGTTCACATGGAAGATGCGCACCATCATCAGTCACCAAAAGATTACAAATCATACAATCTGATGTAGAGGAGGGATTAGGACTTGGGATGACAGTGGGAGCCCAAGATTGATTGGGGGGAATTACATGGGAAGTAAGCCTGCAGTGCACTGCCTTTATCCTTGGTTGAGAGATGGGAGGATTGTGGTTACTAGATAGAGTGTGTTGGGGAGATGAACATAGATGATCAAAGGCATAAATCTGACTTGAACATTGAAAACATTGTCAGTTGATCCCCCCCTCTGTTGCTTGAGGGACCTGATTTGGGTTTCAACACTGTCTGTGTTTTCATTGTTTTGTTTTTGTTTGTTCATATTAGGGTATCTCCCAGAGGTGTTAAGCCATTGTAGTTCACCCTCTTAAAGGTGTGTTATACACTATTCCACATTTTGGGATACGAAACCCAGGATTGATGAACCTATAGGGACAGCAAATAGAATAAGGGTTTCAAGGGACCTTGGGTGGGGTTGGCGGGTAGTGAGATACAGCGGTGATGATGGGATAAAAGAGAGACAATGTCAAGGAATCCAGGAAGAAAAATAATGTTTGGAAATTGATTATGGTAAAAATTATACAATTCAGCTTGATATGTTGAACTATGGAATGATATATGTAGGAACTCCCAGTTAATAATAAATTAAAATAAATAAATATATACAATATGGCAAGAAATGGGGGAAAATAAAGCAAACGCTATATTGCATTGAGCAAGGCTGTTGCAAAAGACCTTGTTAAATGATGCAGGGTGGGGGTGGGGAACAAGAGACTACTTTGAAAACTGAGGTATGCCTGACTCAAGTCTTACTATTTTCAACCACCTCAAAATCATGAGAAAGTTAAATAAAGAAAATGGAAGAAGTTATGTCTTTGAATGATAGTGCTGGCAACGAATGCTGACTGTACCATGGACTGCCAGAAGAATAAGCAAGTCTGTCTTGGAGAAGAATAGCCATTATGTTCCTTAGAAGAAAGGATGGAAAACTGTTTTCTCACATATTTTGGTCATGTTGTCAGGAAGAACCAGTCCCCAGAGAAGGACATCATGCTTGGTAAAGCAGAGGGTCCATCAAAAAAGAGGAAGATCTTTAATGAGTTGGGTTGACAGAGTGGTTGCTACCCTGGGCTCAAACATGATAGTTACAAGAATGACCAGGGCAGTGAAGCGTATTCCTCTGATGCACAAGGTGTCGCTAGGATTTGCAGTGGACTCAATGGCACCTAAAAAGGATAAGAGTTAAAAGGTCAACAACGTTGCTGTTGGTTTTTTGACAGTAGAGAAGAGTCTTGTAATGGAGAGGCCAAATTACATTAAATTCCAATGGATACAAAAGAGGAGGTAAACCTTGCATTATTTCGGGGAGAATAGTTAGCTTTAAGTACTGTACTGTACCTGGGAAAAGGGGATATACAGAATAGAAAAGGGAACCAGGAGACACGGGTTTAAGCATCTTTCTATTAAGGGGCAGAGGGAATGCTAATGTTCCAAGCAGAGTATAAAGTCAGAACGGCACACAAAACTGGGTCTAATATATCCCAGGCCATCTAATTCCCCATTAAATATATGACGTGGTATCAAAAATACTGGTCCAAATCATTAAATTTTATAGAAGAAAAACACTTCAATAAATCAACTTTTTAGACCTGTGGAAAACTAGTACAAAGTTTTAATGATAATGTCAATGTGATTTGTAACTCATTTAATAAACTCATGCCATCATCTTAGTATTCCCTTAGATATTAAAAATGTTAAATACAATATTTTAAATGACTGAGCATCAAAACAGCCTGTGAATTATGAGGACCCAGTTTCCTCCCACAGAGGAAAACTGAGGTCAGAGGAAAGTAAAGGCCCAGGCTACACACAGTCCATCAAGTTAGGAACCAAGTCTCCTCACCCTCATTCAGTGTTCATGTCAGAGCTCTTTGTTGATGTTTAGCAACTTTAAAGCCAGCAAACAATATAAAATTCCAGTGAGTTTATTGTCTATCTGGTAGTTTTCTTTTGGATAAAGAAGAAAAGGAGAAGTAAGGTGGCCTGTGACCACTGCAGCCTTGTAAGATATCAGGACCTTC